TCCTATTACTAATTTTTATTCCAGGGTCATTATGGGCTATGTTAAAAGTAGTACAGAATTATGGCTCAGTCTTTGTTCTTTAACAATATCTGCAACTTCCATGGAAGTTACATTAAGCATTCTGATATTTAAAGTTAGAAAACCCACATTTCTTTGACACAGGTCATACTGAGAAGTAGTTATGTGATTGCTTCAGGGACTAATGGAGTTCTGTGAGAGAACCTAAAAGCTTGGGTATTTTGACCTGAATAGTATTTGGTATCACTGATCTGAATGTCGAATGAAGAACTCAGTTTGACTTTCAAAATCATTGGTGATGAATAAGGTTTTCTCTGATAGTTACTAAACAAAATACTTTTGAAAAAAGCCAATAACAAACAAAACCCCTTAATGACAGAGGATAAACTGTGGCATTGGAATTTTTGCATTTTCAATGTGGAACTGTGTTTCGAATTATATCTTTTTTTCAGGAGCATTCCAAAGATGAGAAGTAAGACAAATAACATGCTTAGATAAATATTCCCAGTCCAAGTAATTAGAGTATTAGTTTATTAAACTGCTGGGATTACAGAGCATTTTAATAAATATTAAAAAGCATGAAATTTCTGTATGCTGCAGGGTTGATGTGGTGTGTGTCCTAGTTTAAAAAAAAAAAAAATCAATGAAGACAAAAATGGAAATATTTCTAATTACTATTAAGTGGAAATTGTAAGCAGAAATTTCAAAGAATTAAGATTGGAGATTATTATAGATGGACAAAAGTAAGCATAGACCTTTATGGTGACAGGTGCAAATGACTATTGTAAACTAACAAACTGGTGAGGAGAAATGTGTGCGTTGTTTTGCTGAAGGTAGTTCAGCTGTGTTCCTCAAAAGTAGTTATTTTTCCGCTTAAATGTTGTTTAGACATCACTTCCAGGTAAATCAGCAAGATGTTAAGATGAAAATAATTTAAAACCTGAGAGACTAGCACTTAGTGTCTGTTATCTCCACTGCTTTTGGAACGGTTCTCACCGATTTCTTACATGTATGTGATGTGGTAAGAGTAAAAAACTGAGTAATTACAAGCACTCATCCAGCCTTGAGGAGAATATGGAAAGATGCTCTTTAGTCAAAGAGAAAATGAGAGGACAAGAGGCAGTGGGCACAAACCACAGAAACAAAGGACGTTTTGCTTGGGTGTAAGGAAGCACTTCACTGTGAAGGTGACTTGAGCACTGGCACTGCTCAGAGAGGCTGTGGAGTCTCCAACCTTGGAGATAATCAGAAGTTGGATATGGTCCTGGGCAAGTGGCTCTAGGTGGCCCTGCTTGAGCAGGGGGGTTGGACAAGATGATACCCAGAGGTTCCTTCCAACCTCAACCATTCTGTGAAATAAAAACTGCTTTGTGCACTAACAGCTTGGGGGATTTGTTGTATTTATCATCTGGGGAGAACTTGTGGTCACTGAAGAATGTTAAACTTGGACAAAGGTATATATTAATGACCTTAGTAATGCAAAAGTATCCCTTTCCAGAAAAATGAGAACTGAAATTCAGTACGGACAAATTTAAGTTCAGAGATAAATGTTGCTTTGAATAACTTAAATAGTACACCTAGTCAAGAATGAAAACAGTTATGTAGGCTACTTGGCAAACTGACTTTTTTCAGCCTAACATTTCAAATGTAATGTTGTGAAAAGCATATGCAGACAAAAAAGCTGAAGTTTCCATTCTTTGTCTTAAAGAGGCTGTGAGCATCTGTTTAATGTTGGGGTTCAGATACTGGACATATGCTTGTGCCCTGCCCCTTCTTAACTTTCTAATAGAAGCTAATCCCTGTTGTTTTAAGGAAAGAGGAACCATTTTCAGCTAAAGAATAGATACTGCTGGTGAAGAAATACTATGAAATTGCTACAGCCAAAGCTTTCCAAAATTGCTGCCAGCCCTGTTACGAAAGCACAGCGCAGCTATGCTTCCTGGTGGAGTCAGGGTCTTAAGGACAGCAACATGCAGTGGTCCAAGTTGTCAGGACACCACTGAGTTTCTACTGTATCTTTCACGAATGGTGTTACAAAGAGCCTCAGCAGTGTCCAGATGACATGTTTGTATCTGTCCCTCTCAAATACAGGAAATACCACCATTTGTGTTTTGCAGAAAAATGTTCTGACAGCAACGTAACTTCTAATATATCTATAGATGTGCTCTGATACTGACTGGAAGCCTTGGATATGATACAAGATACTTGTCAGCATATATGACTGTTCATCAAAGTTTATTTAGAGGGAGAAAGTGATGACTGAACCTCAAATTGTGGGTTATCTTGGCTTTGTTTCGAAGCCTCCCATTAGAGTTGAGAGTCCAATTTCAAGCTCTTTCTTTAGGATATATGTTCAGAGGAGGGGAAAAAAAAAAGACCATCAGCTGTGTTTCCTCAGTTGTTGTTGAAAATGTTGGTGATGCATTCCATTTTGTCAGAAAAATCTGGTAATACTTCATCTTTTTAGTCAAACCTTCACACTCAACCCCACCCTTCCCCCAAATAAATAAAGATCTGCCTGACCTGCAGCTTCTCATCAGATTTTGGCAAAGCTATGTTGAATAGGAGTGATTAAAATACATTTTTTGGCAAGGTGTAGAAGATATATACCTTATGGTTCCTTTTCTGGTCCCTGCTTGAGCAGTGGGGTTGGACAAGGTGACATCCAGTCCATTCCAACTTCAGCCATTCTGTCATTCACAGATAACCACTTCTGGTTTGTTTTTGGTTTTTTTGGCCATTCTTGTTTTGGCACTGCGTCTTTCCTAAAGAAGTTTGTTATCCTTTCGTGTCACCGTGGCCCAATATTTATACGGTTATGTTACTTGGTTCCAATAAAGAGTGATTGAGGGTGGGGAGTCTGGGGGTGTTTTTTCCCCTCAAGCGTTGAACTGCCAAAAGAGAAGAACTGTTTCCAAAACCAAAGAGAGTAATGCAAAGCACTTCAGTTTTCCGGGGATCCGTAGTTCTAGTATAAGTAGGGAAAAAGCTGTATTTATAATAACCATTTGAGAAATCTCACCTCTGAATGAAAATGGGGATTTAACTTTTTAGGTCGTCTGTTTCTAGAGAGAAGACAGGCTGTAATGTAGCTTCTGCAAAATATGTCCTTACTATTGTAAAGGATACTTGACTAATTTGTTTCATTGGGCTTACGTGATTCCATTTCTGTTGTCCATGCTTCCTGATCCTGTGTTTCATGATGCTAGGAGCCAGATGGGCTTTATAAAAAAACCCTCTTAATTCAGTAGCAGAAGCACGTTGCTGTAATGCTGGCTTTTGTGATCTCTCTGCTTTGGCAATGAATCTTGAGAGTTTGACGAGAAGCAAGCAGCAACAGAAGGCTCAGGAACAGAAGGCTGTGTGATGGGCTCAGCCAGTAGCCTTAGGGTGACCTTGAAGCTGTGCTGGAGCTGGTCAGAGCAGCTTGAGAAGATCTGTTATGGGCTGCCAATTTGAATTTGAAGGAATGCCCCAGGTCTCAAGAGTCTTGGGCAGTGTTAAAATGCTGGTTGCTGAGCAATCCCATTAGAAGGTCTCCGGTAGATGTGCTGTCAGTGGTAGCTTCCCCAGCTGAATTCAGTGGACAGAACAACAGAAACACAGTGCCAACTGGATAGAGCAGTTTCGTGTTGGTCCTATGTGCTTTGGTGAATACTGTAACACAATAGTATGGGTTGGCGTGCTGGCCTACCCTACGGAACTGTTACAGTCACGCCTGAAAAAGGTGTGTGTCTTTTAACAGGGAGGATAGGAGAAAAGCTCTGGCTACCGGAATTCTGCATTTTAAGGAAAATTGTGGCTAAGGACAAACAAATCTTAGCTACTGCTGCTTAGCCAAATGTTAGCATGGTTTTCACCAAACAGTGTTTTGTTTTTTTTCCTCAATGGGAAAATTTAACCTCATGAATCAACTTCCATCATACATGACAGTAAAGACTTTCTCTTTTTTACAAAAGAAGAAAATCCAAGAGGAATAGGTACAAGCAGGCTGCCCTATAAGGCTGATAATATTAGTACCTTTCTGTGATTTGCTCCAGCTCTGTTTTCTTCATCTCTGGGCCTGTTTTTTCAATGATATCAACACCTACTATATTACATATCTTTATGGAAGAAGGAGAGTACTGGGGAAGTGTACCTCCTGTTGTGGCATCTGGGAATGTGTCCAGAAACTATTTCATTGGGTCTGAGCTAGGATGAAGTTCAAATATGCATACAAAAAAAATTAGCATAAAACTCTTGAAATGAGATCATGGCTCTTGATTTTTTTGCTGGGGGTTGGGGACTAGTACACCTGTGTTGAGAGCAAGTGTTTGCATCATGTGTATTCTACAGGAGGAAGGAAATCTCTTTATGCAGCAGTGTGAAGTGTTTCTTAATTACAGCCTTATTTCATTTTCTAAGCTTCATAAGAACTCAGATTCTTTCCAACTGACTCATTCATTTGAACTCTTCCATGCACCATCTTGCCATTTAAAGGCCTTTACTTGGTAACAATCATCTCTGTATGCTAAGGGATGTATTACTGTATGACTATCTCTTCTAATAGATCTGACTCCCGAGTTGCAAAATAACATACTCTGGTGTTCTCTGTAAGAGTCCCTTTCCTCTGATGGTGATTTTTAGAGTAATTTTGAGCTGTTACAAGCTCTTAGCCTATCAGTAGTTAACCAATGTGTACCTTGTAGAGAATGAAAAGTTTTAATAAGTCAAGATCAGAATTTTCTATTATATCTTTTTATTATTTCCAGAATGTGCTGAACTGCTTGGTGCTTGCATATTCAACTGTGCACGTGCAGTGTTTTCTTGAGCAGCTCTTTAGTTTTGGACTTGTGGCCTGTTTTGAATTTTGTGATGTTGAAACTTGTATTTTTTTGCTACTGCAACAGTTGCTTCCTGGAGTACTATTATTAAAGAAAATGCTATGTATTAATAAAATGTATACTCAAAAATTAAAAATTTTAACTTTTGTATCTTCACAGAACCATTCTCATGATCATTTACTAGACACTAATGACTCAAGAAAACAGCAAGCTAATCAGCACAACTACCGTACAAGATATGCAGTAGAAGAAACTGCAAGGCCTGCTGAAGAGTTAGAAAATGGACACAGTTCCTCAGATGTAAGATCCTTATTCATGAAGCAATCATGTATTTCATTTCTACTCATTAAGCTCCTACTTCAGCTAATTAAACATTGTTTCTAATGGAAACTCAGGTTGCGTTTTTCATTGTGCATTTTCTTTTACCTCTTTTAAAAATTGACGAATCAGGTTTTCACATGCTGTTGTATGTATTTAGTTTTGACTACAAAGTAATTGACAAAAGGGAGAAATGCTCCTTTGTAAGGGCATTTTGCAAAGTATATGTGTGCAGTGTTAAATCTTGCCTTTATTTGTGAACCTAATCAGTATGGCCTATATGGCCTATCAGTATGGTTACTGGCTGTAGGTGGCCCTGCTTGAACAGGGAGATCGGATAATTGGACCTCCAGAGGTCCCTTCCAGCCTCAACCATTCTGTGCTTCTGTAGCTGCAGTGGAGAAATGAGTAATAAGAGTATGTAAGGTTTGTACGGGGTTTTTGTTTGATACTGATTGAAAAAATGTAGAAATACTACATTAAAAAGAGCTGGAAGTAATTTTCAAAAGGCAAGCTAGCCTTTTTAAAGAGAGATGGAGAAGCACTTGGGTCTCCACTGACTATATGTTAAAAAAATGTTGCTCTACACTGTGCATCTCTCCAAGCATAGATATTTTCTTACTACTTTTAATTAAGTCCATTAAAGTAAAGTAAGTATCTGCAAACTAAAGTGCCTTTTTAATGACACAAAGCTTTTATAATGCTATAAGTTTATAGCACACATAAAGCCTAGAAGAGTCTTAGTCATATTGTCATGTATTATAACTTTTTGGAGATCTAAAGAAAACTCTTTTTTTTTTTTTCTCCTGGCCCTTCTCACCTTGCTAGGAAGGAGAAGTAGTTGTTGCCAGTGGTGGAACATCAGAAGATGACGAAAGAGCATGGCACAGTGATGGCAGTTCTAGGTAAGTGACAGTATACCTTACAGAGACAGTCCTCCTGACAAATTTTAAATAAACTTCTCTGTAAACAGTTAATTAGTAGTAACTAAAACTTGTGCACATTTAGAAGAAAAGATGAGAAAGAACTTAAAACTTGCAGGATTTCATTTTCAGCTATATAACTAAAACTTAGGGAAGGTTTCATCCTTGTTTGCCAAAAGTAGAATAGTTTCTGATTGGTTTTGCAGGAGGGTTATTCTTTGCAGGCACACACATGCTTCGGGCATGTGGTAGCCATTTCCTATGACTGTCAGTCTGAGATGTGTGACTGCCTCTGCTCACCCCTGGTTTGAAATTAGAGAGCAAAGATTGAGGTAGCTTCAACCCATCCTTCGTTTCTTCTTTAGCAGATTTATTTTTTTTTTTAACTTTTGTTCAAAGCTATTCAAAACCAGAAGTCCTGAGAACAAGATCCAGACTTCAACATGTGTCATCTTGAAATGACCAAGTGAACAGTGGATTTACTTGTAGTGATGCTAGAAGTTAAGCTGCTTACAAGACTGAACAATCTCAAGGCTTTTGGTTTACTACCATTTAAATTGTAGATAGAATATAGGGCTGTAGGCACTGTTTTTAACTGTTAAAATATTGTGATTATCTAGAATGTTAACTATATTCTTGTATTGGGTTGTATTCTATAATCCAGTGCACTCTGAATTGCTTTTTAACTTTTGGTTTTTTGTTTTTGGTTTTTTTTTTTTTCTTCTTTGGCATATCATACATAGTGACTACTCTAGTGATTATTCTGACTGGACAGCAGATGCAGGAATCAATCTGCAACCACCAAAGAAAATTCCTAAAATTAAGACAAAGAAAGCAGAAAGTAGTTCAGAGGATGAAGAAGGACCTGAAAAACAAAAGAAGCAAATTAAAAAGGAAAGGAAAAAAGGGATTGAAGAGAAAGATGGACCATCGACATCACCAAAGAAGAGGAAACCCAAAGAGAGAAAACAAAAGGTTAGATGTTCTTTTTATATTACAGGATGCTCACTCCTGTCTTAGAAAGAATTAGATGAATGATTAGTTATATACATAACTTAATATTGTCTAATTTGAAAGCATATCATGACTTTTACTAGTAATAAATGATAATTACTGACTCTTGTAAGTCAAATGATAGATTACTGTAATGATACACTTTCTAAATATGATGCATGTCACTTAAGAAGCATTTTTAATGTCTTTAACACCATCTTTTCTCAGACCAGAAACTTCCCTTATGTGGATGTATTGAGTATTGATGGCTTTTTTCACCTGTACTGACTGTCTTCCTGCTTAATTGCAACTTCTTTTACGTTTGCACAATCATGTCAATTTTTTGCTATCAATTTCACAATGTATATTTGCCTTATGGTTGCCACTATACTTCCATCAAAGGGAGTTTCTCTTGATCACAGTTTTATTTTTGTCTTTTTGTTTTGTTTGCTTTCTGATACAACCATGCCATTCCAGTTTATATCAGTACATGGAAATTATTAGTGACTTCTGTTATTTTCAGTGTGATGTGTTTTGGGGGGGGGCTTGTTTTTTTTTTAGTCAACTGTTAGATCAGAAAACTTGGGTTCTTCATTCTTTCTTTACAGAGACCAGAAGTAATCTATCTGGTAGATACTAATTGCTTTTGTAAGCTCATAGCTTCTATTTTTGTAATACCCAAGGAAACCAACTGTATCGTCTAAGTAACAGCATAACTGTATTTTGTTTATTTATGAGATTAGGAGTCCTTAGCATTCCTTAAGATCATTATTTCAGCATTTTGTCCCTCATTAGAAAGTAGACTGATAAAACAGCTGTTTTAATATGCAGGCTGGCATAGTATCAGCTTTACTGTGAACCTTTGGTAAGACATGCAGGATGTTAGGTGGTAGTCTTTACTCTTTGATTAGGCTACTTGTTTGTTGTATGCAGTTGTTGGTTGTAGTGTCAATACTAATAGTATCCTGGTATTTACACAGTCTGAAACCAGAAGAAGGTGTGAGATCAGGAAAATAAATTAGGTACTGGTTTTTGGGGGTGTTTTTAGTGGTTGAAAGCTCTACTTTAGCTTTTTATCATAAAATATAATACTGTTTGACAGCCTAGTATTTCTTCTCAGATTAAAGCTGAATTGAGTGCTTTGGGAATCTTGCATCCATTTTGTTCCCTGTTACCGTGATGCAGGAGGTCTTTGATTCCAGAAATATCGGACTTAGATATTTCAGATTTTTAAAGATGACCTGGTCTGTTCTTGAATCACGAGAAAAGATCAGGCTAGAAGGAATATCAGAAAATCATCCCTCTTCCCTCTGCCCCTAGGTAGGATTAATTATACCTGACATTCCTGATAGATGTTTGTCTTTGAAGTTTCTTGTGGTAGAGATTCTACCTCCTTACTGGGCAGAGAGCTCACAGTCCTTACTGGTAGAAAGGTCTTCCTGTTTCCTGAACCTGAATCAAAATTGGGGCTTTCCATTGAGGAAGGAAGTTTAGACCATCTTTGTAGCCAGACACAGAAACTTAGGAATTAAGAAAGGAGTAGAGGAGGAATGTTATTCTTCTCTATTAATGCATAGACTGTCGAGATACTGAATAGTCCTTACATTTCTAATCCCTCTTTGCCAAAAATCAATCTAAAAAATGATATAGCAGTGAAGAAGGGCAAGAAAGGAGCACCCAGAAAGATCAAAGGGTACAGAATATTTTTTCTTTGGGGCAGACACAAAAGAGGCTGATTCTTAGAAGGGAGAGAGTCTGGAGGAGATGATAAAGCTTTTATAAAACTATGAATGGTTTAGAAATGAATAAATGCAGAATGATTTCTTTCCTTACTTTGTTACAGTGAGATGTACCACACAGTGACACAGATATGAAGCTCCAAGAGCCCTTTCCCCATTCAGCCCCTACCCCCTGAAAGCAAACAAAAAACCCAAACCACCTGAACATGTAATCAGGCTGTGGAACTTAGTAATAAGGGATTTAGTAGAGTTTCAGAAATGATTACACAAATTCACTGGGACTAGTCTCTTCCTGATGATGAACTGTGATGGCCTGAGTTCAGGCTTGGCGTCCAGAGGATTTTAAACTGATTATTTTTGTGTGAAGTTACAATAAGGGAAGATTTCCTGTTTAAAGGCTACTTCTTATTACTTTCCTATAATTACCAATGAGCTAGACAGACTTCGCTCTCATCGGTTTTTCACGAGACAGACCTGCTTGAACCTGAACGTCCACATGGTGCTTCTATGTCAGTGATTAATGTAATGTACTGTTTTGATTTTTTTTGTTTGTTTGTTTTTAACTGTGCGTATGACTTTTCCTGTGGTATACACCAATGCTCCAGTGGTACACTCAAAGCAGGTCCCATCCTGGTGAAACCACAATTGAATTTGTTACAGTGGGGTTAACACTTGGAGTATCCTGCTTGCAGCCTGAGGATGCAGGATCAGTGGCTCTACGGAGTGGGTTTCTGTTCAACCATCCAGGGTTGCTTTCTATACGTGCATGAGATGCTGTTAATTTCAAAGCAGCTTTGCTTGGGTGGTTGTACAGAATCCTGCTTTTTCTGGCCTATTAGGTATAGACATGCAGTGTGCACTTAGGACTAGCAACTGCAGTGAGCTTTGTTTCTTACAGATGAATGTTGTGGACATAAAATCTGGAAATGCAGTTCCACAGCACATTGTATAAATATGCAAGTAGGTAACATGGATGTGTCCAATCCAGGTCATTTCCACATGCTTTACCTCTGTTTATTAATCTTCCTTTTCATCTCGTGGGGTTTCTTAATTGGAGGCAGCTGTATAGTTGTAGTGTTTTATGGGCCAAGGCAGCTGTGAGTTTGGTTAAGGAGAATGGCATATTTCAATTTTATCTTTTTGGGTATGTGACATAGTTACTTGGAGTGTTAATAAATTCAGTCTTTGTTAGAAGACACCCCCCCCCGCCCCAACCTCAAAAAAACACCCCCCAACCTAAAAACTCATTTTTTAAAGAATCTTAATGTTTTTTGGTCTCGGTGTTACTGTAAGCAGTTAAGTAATGTTTATCTTCACACTGGCAATAATTTCCTTTTTACATTAAGTATACTTAAAGAAATTGTAGTTGATTTTAATAAAACACTTCCCAAAATTCAAGGATTACCCAGATGTTAGTTTATTCATATTAATCTTCTGAGTGCATTTTCTTCAGAGGCTGGCCGTAGGAGTTCTGACAGAAAACGGTTTGACACTGGAAGAATGGCTGCCTTCAGCATGGATTACAGACACTGTTCCTCGTCGGTGCCCATTTGTGCCACAGATGGGGGATGAGGTATTGTAGTTTTTTCCCCTCTGTGTTCTTGTTTCTTTCAGCTTGTTTTGGCCTTTTTATTTTCATCTGTGCATTTTTTCCAGAGACTTAATACCATTTATTGTCAGAGTATTTTGGATTTTCTTCAAAACATTCTTTGATCTGGCTAAAACTTGCTTTCACTTCCTTTAGTCTTTCCCATACTTAAAAAATAACTCTGCACACTGTTGGCTTTGACTTTTTTAAATTCCATGTTGTTGCAGTAAATTCATTCTTGTACTATGTTCAGTGTGTTATATGACACATATATACAACCTGTGTGAGATGCTTTATCTAGTGAAACAAGTCCTTAGTTGTAGAGCATCTTGTGTGCTGAAGATTAGCTAAGAAATGAAATATGAATTTAAGTTGTTTGGAAAACTTCAGTTAGGGACTTGAAGTAAAAACCAAGAATTAAACCTTTGCGGGGAAGGTGGGGTTTTTCTGTGGTGTTACTTTTTAAAGTTCATTTATTCTGAAGAAAATCTCTGATATTGTTCTTTTCACTTGTGTTTCTGATACCAGAAAACTTCTACTGGTCTCTTATAACAGAAGATGACAAGAGAAGCTTTGTATATATGCATTTTATATGAACTAGACTGTAAACACTTCGTAAACGTGGCCCAGGTGTCTCAAAATGCAGTAGCAAAAGGACACACATCTGTTTTCTACTTTAAAATACATAGCATGTGAACATTACAGTGAACTGTATGAATAAGTTGTATCCGATAGAAGGCTATCTTGAAAACTAGAGCCTGTGCGTGTTTCCTAAAATCCCCTCAGGTTAAAATAAGAGGAAGTAGCTGGCTTATGCTGTAATGTGTAGCATGTTGGCTTTTCAGGGAGCGGCGCATTTCTGAGGTACTAACAGAGTTCTTGTATAGTTCACACCTTCAGAGTGCAGTTGGAGAAATACTGATGTGGTGGCAAAGTTGATTAACTTTGGTCTTGAGCTAGAGCTGTTTGTAGGTACCACCTCAGAAACAAAATTAGGAGAAGTTGCATGTGCAAGCAGTTTTGTTTTTACTGGATCACTTCACTGATGCAGTTCACAGCACAGCTATGCAAAAAGTACATCGGCATTGCTAGTGAGTGAGGGAAGGAGCAGTTTAAGTCAAGAATTGCAACTGGAGAAAATGCTTATGTGTTTATACCCTCCAGCAAGCATGTTTTGAAGACTGTGCTATTCAAAAGATCAAGTCCAAATAAATATTTTTGGTGCCTGATACCATCTGGATACAGTGAAGTGGCCAAGGATTTATCTGTTCTATATTGCCCAGGAGACTTTAACATCATATCAGTTTAGTAAGATGTGCTGAACCACTTGTGCAGTGTGTACTAGGAATATCTAAGTAGGCTGCATTCTTTTGCTGAAAAATGTTTTATATTGGTGAACATGAAATTTCCTGTCCTGTGCCTAGAAAGTAAGAGTAGTTGCACCAATGGAGAGTACATTTGTAATCAAGCTGCTGTCTAAAATTCCATCTCTGATACTTGCCCTCCCCAGATTTAAGTTGTTAAAAGAAGCTGTTCACGTAGAAAGTTACTTTTGAGATCCACAGAAATAAAAGATCAGTTTAATTGGAGAAATACGATGAGAAGAGGTCGCGTATGGCCTTTGAACATTTTGGTGGATGGTTGGTGTATTTCGTAAGATTTGGGAGGAGAGATACTTCAGATTCATTCTCTTACAGCTGCACAAACAAGTAGGAAAAAATAGTAGTGCTATATTTAGTTAAGACTCAGTGCATAAGAATAGCACATACCATCCCTTTTTCCCTTTCTGAATACTACCGTTTACAGATCTGTCATGTGTCTTGAGAAACAGTGGAAACACACCAGAGATGGGACTGGAATTTCCTGGTCTGATTATCAAAATACAATTCATATTCATTGGAGTATTCTGCCATTAACACAATAAAGAACAGTTTTGCCTGGGTACTACAACAAACATGTGGAAGCAAGAATTTATCAAGATTAAAAATATAATTTCCCGGGAAAAGGCATAAATTCTTTTTTCCACACATATCTTTCTAATTTGTTCTTCTGACGGAAGATGTAATGATTAGAGCCATTTACAAAATAAAAATGTTTCACTTCTGTGTACAGTGGGTTGCCTTTATGTAGAGGTTTAGCAGAAACAGTAAGTGTAGGAGAAATTCTTTGTAGCCTGTGCCACTAAGTGGATTTTTTTGTTTTGATTCACTGGAAGGTATGGGAAACAATTCTCACAGTCTTGACAGTGTAATTAAATTGGCATTATTTTAGATCTGTCTCGCAGTAGCCTCTGTTCCTTTTACTGCCAGTTAGATTCTAACAGTGTATAGGAGATTCTCACTGCTTTCATGCCATCTGCAACTACTGTGCAGTTTTTCCTTATGAGGACATTGTGCATGTCAAATACTCTGAAAAACAAGAGTTTAAAAAAACTGTGATGCTGAGTCCTTTGTTTCAAAAAAAAAAAAGATTGCCATGTGACATGAAGAAAGTTCAGTAACTGTTAATGTAGAAACTGGACAGACTCCTGTTTGTACTCTTTTATGATACAACAGTTCTGGAAAGTGTGTAGAAAATACAGTGTGTTTATTTGTATAACTGTATTTTAAAACTTACTGAGCGCTTTTCACTTGTGCTTTTTTTTTTGTTGTTGTGTTAGACTTTTACATTTAAGCTATTGTTCCTTCATCCTACTTGATGGAAGTCCCATGTTCATGGGATGTTCATGGCTTGGGGCACTTCTAGAGGAGTTCTTATCTGGAATGCATTTGTACCTGGAATACAGCTGTTTTATCAGATATTTGTTCTAATTAGTTTGAGGAACCTCTATTTCACATTTCAGATCTATTCCTTGAATATATGTTTAAGGTTTTAAGCTTACTACTTCATTACAGTGATGGTTTATAACAAAAACATTCATTCACATGGTATCATATACAACCGAATCAAAGTAAAACTAATAGACTCTGGATGTCTGAATTGTGGAAATCTATAGTGGAAGGATTTCAAAATTTTTAACACATTCTTAAAATGCCTACTTTCAGTTTGTTCCTGTCTTTGTTAGGCTGTTTGTTCGGTAGTATGGAAGCGAACACCAAAATTTTACCTGAACAATAAGCAGCTGAATTTTCCTTCTAGAATATATTTCTTGTTCAAAAAAGATATGACTAGCCAGATAGTGAATCTAGTGATACTTGATTGTATCTTAGGGCTGTCCTACAGTGATGAATAACCAGGTGGATTAGTGGAATTCATGTTCCTGTTATTGAATTGTTCTGTAGTGCGGTGATAAATGGGTGTTTTTGTTACTGCTTTTGTTTTGGTCTCACGTGTAATTTAGGATATTTTGCTCATAGGGAAAATGGTGTTCTAAATCTTCCCTACTTTTTCTGTAAATATTTCTATGATACCTGCTTCAATTGTTCACCACTTAATTTTTTGAGAACCTGTGCCTTTTGCAGGAAAACTGAGCAGAAAAAAGTTGATAAAAAGTACACACAATGTATGGCAGTGATGTGCTAGCATTTCAACTCCTCAAAGTCTTTCATAGATAACTGTCACATTTCACTTTTAGGTCTACTATTTCCGACAAGGTCATGAAGCATATGTTGTAATGGCTAAGAAGAACAAAATATATAGTATTAATCCCAAGAAACAACCATGGCATAAAATGGAATTACGGGTATGACTTGTTTCTTATTTATGTTTGGTATCTTAATATAAAAAGAAGTTTGGCAATTAACAAAAAAGATTGATACAGATGATGTTGTGCTTTTAATATTTTAAGATAATGGGGAACAGTTAACTTAAATAGTCAGATGAAATCAGACCTTAAACTGTACTACTTTTTGCATCTGCTTGAGCAGATGAGGTGGTTACACATCATAGCAAAATACTTTTCATACAAGTTATATTGTGGAGATAATAGTTTGCTTTGGAAGGCTGAATTTCAGATACTTGGTTTTGACATGTTCTGGCAGAAATCTCATCTTTGCAGTATACCCATATTTTCATGTTTCAGAAAGTTACTATTTTCATCTTGACTGCAGTGGTGCTACATAACATTTTGTTTATTCCAGGAGCAAGAACTGATGAAAATTGTTGGGATTAAGTATGAAGTGGGATTGCCTACTCTCTGCTGTCTTAAACTAGCTTTTCTTGACCCTGATACGGGTAAACTAACTGGAGGATCATTTACCATGAAGTAAGGAACGCAATATTATATTCATATAGGGGGCTTTCGGGGGGGGGACGGGGGGGGGGCATAAAGTTAAGAGATACCTTTAATGTTGTGACTTGAGCTTTTGCTTTTGAAGTGTTGAATTCAAAGTGGATTTTTTTTAATGTAATTGCTTAACTTTATGCTTTTGCTGTTTCATTGCTTAATAGTTGTGTATTTTATGGCAATTAGGTACCATGATATGCCGGATGTCATAGATTTCCTAGTTTTGAGGCAGCAATTTGATGATGCAAAACATAGGCGATGGAATATAGGTGAGTTGCATGGGGAGTTTTTTTGTGTGGCTTTTTTTGTTTGTTTTTCAAAATGTGTACCTATTTTTCATGGTAACTTACTAAAAAGTAGGTTATGGTAAAAAAATCCTAATACTGTGTTGAAATCTGAGAATAAACTGTCCGTATTTGGATGTGGGGTCCTACTTTGTCCTTGACTGAAACTACAGCAAGCAAACAAAATACTGAAGCTGATCTTTTAAAAGAAAGTGCAAAGAAAATCTCAGTTGTGTGTTTGCAGAGAGGAATTAAGAATACCGTTCATAAATACGGTGTTTATTGATAACTGATAACATACTGTACTCTTTTTTTGGATCGAAGACCCTGCTACAGCTGCATTGCTACTAGAATTTTTTTTTTTCCCCCCACTTCTGGAATTTCTGCTGGAAATATGGAAACATATTCTCTACCATGTAGAATTTATGATCTCTAGATTATACAACAAAAGTGCCCTTCCTATCTCTTTATACTTGTTTGAATTATGTCCTAAACCCCATACAGTTTAGGTTCACTGAAGTGTATATAATTCACTGCTGTGTGATGTGGGGATGTTTTTGATTCGTTTTACTTTACCCATGCTTAGTTATTTAAAAGTCTTGGATAATGGAGAATGTCTATGACAGGCACATCCTCCGGTCAGATCTATTTCCTAGTCACCTATTCCGTATGACAACAAAGATGACCTTTCAACAATGAAATCTAACTAGAGGGAGAGAAAGCTGCATTATGACAAAATGATGCTCTAAGGTGGTGATTTCTTCAGGAGGTCAGGAAATACGTATGTTCTCATTCATAGGAACAGCCTTAGATTGTCCCTGAAACTTAAAAGATTAAGCAAGTATTACTGGTTCTTCAGAGTTCAGGATGAACTCTGTTCCCCTAAGAGAGAAATTTGTATATGATACCATGTTTACTGAATTCTAGGCACTGTTAGGTCCTTTCTAGTGTCTCAGTATATTCTGTGAAGTGACATGCTCCTGAAAGTGAAAAGGTAGCCTGCCTTTGTTTTTTTTAAAGCGGGTCTTAATGTTAAACACATTTTTTTGTAAAGTAGCAGTGATTAACTGTACCAACTCAATTCCTGTGTTCTTCCATTCAGGAGGCGTGGCTAGCTTGTACACAGCTGACTTGGCAGCATTTCTTGCTACTTCAGGCAAAGCATCATATAGGAGAATTCTAATGCAAGAACATGATGGTGTATCTGATTGCCTGTGTAGAAACAAGTGATAGGACACATGTTTCTCCAAATATGCTGCCTTCTTTAGTCCGTAATTTGCTGTTTTCAAAGTGCTGTCCTCTCCTAAGTTCATTGTAGCTAAGTAACCTGAAGAAGTGGTGCAACTGGATGTTAAAAGCTCTTTTTTTGTTGTTTTTTCTTACCTGACTTTTCTGCCAGGAAAGATAATTCATCTCTTGTCCTTTGATGTACATCATGATATCCTTGCTTAGGATGTGTGCCTTAACAGTAGATGTATAAATTAAATGATGCCATATTAGTAAGTTTCCTATCATCTCATACTTTACATTATGTTGTCTGAAAACACAGCTAGTCTTCAGTTCTGTGGGGAATTTGGTAAAGACTCTAGGCTTGTGATTCAATAGGAAATGTAAACCTTGATTTCTTCTTTAGAGATCATTTCAGTTTAAAGATCCCTTAAGAGACAAGATTGGTCGACATCTACTAATAATGTCACCTAGCTTTGCTCTTTCCTGGTGGTTATGGATCTGTGGTCTTGCCCTCCTCTGCCATTCCATAGAGGTTTTCCCACAAGATGACAGAAGCAGTAGAATAATGACTGCTGTACCTTGTATGTGAACAGCCTAGCCAGAAGTCATCTGTCAGCCATTGTGATAGAAATCCGGGAGTAGAGGAGGGACTTTGAAACGTTACCCTTGCCGCTCTCAAGACTATGAGCACAGTTACCATCTCCTTCCTGCATGAGCAACTGTATTTCTAGAAACTTGCAGTGTGGAAAGAATCAGTGTTACACAAAAAGTACGGAGAAGTGCCAGAACTGTTTGTCAAGCCTTCAATGTAAATAATGTGAGCTTCAGGCCAGTAGTGTCTAATACCAGCTTGTAGCTCTGACAAGTGTGTGTGAGAGTTCATACTTCAGTTCCTCTTTTGGGTGGCAAAAATAGTGGTAAAATAGTCTCCATCTTTGAGACTCTATGAAATGCTGAAGCAGAAACAGAAAAGACACTGCTGTTAAAACTGTTACAGCTCCTCCAGGAGTCTTCCAGAGTGCTATTGTGCTCTCTACATGGATGCTTTGGATATTGTACTAGTGTGTGCTTATGTACTTGGAACAAATTGTGTGGTTTTGTTGCAGTGTGGAATACAATATAAAAATGTTCCTTGAAAGTAGATCATATTTTCCCCCAGCATAAGGAGAAATGCCTTAGAGCTGTACATGAAACTGTTCTGAGTATTTAACCATGTGGATCTGAAATCCCCAAGATTGATTTGACATGCTCAACTGTTCTGAACTTTCACCATAACTCTTCTTCAAAAACTGATACTTGTTTCTTGTCATGCGGTGACTGGTTTGTCTGTGTAGGACTACTGATACTATCTTTTCTTAGTCCGCTATGTTTTCTGGCACTTAGCCTACAAATCAGTATTTTTATAGCTACTATTTGGAGAGTCACTGGATGTAAAATTTTCTGGCTGCACTTTAAGTCATTAAAACAATGGTCATTTAACCAATAACAGTCCTTGGTGTTTTGGTGGGTTTTGTTGTTTGGTTTTTGTTTGTTTCGGGGAAGAAGATACGCTTATCTATGATACTTATATTTTTAAATATTAAATGTATATTAATGTATGAATCCTTTCAGATTCATGCAACTTAAAAACTTTGAAGTGTCAGGTTCTCATTCCTACCCAGATTCTATTTATGCATATCTTTGTCTTACTGTAGTTTTAAGTACAAGATCAATACTTGGCCTAAAAGCTATTCCAGTAGCTTTTAGCTGCATGTTGTTAGATGGGTGTGCATATCTGTCTCCTTGCATAGCAGCTACTTTAAGTTAAACATACAGTTCATATTTTCATCAAGCTAACATTATCTCATGATACACAGTTCTGGAAAATTATGCTAAATCCTTCTTCTAATAAGGATTTTTGGTCTGCTGTCCGCATAGATGAGGTAACACAGAGGACGTTGGAAAAATAGTGATTCAAGAGATTGTTCTGCAGGCCTTTTCAATCATGTTGTTTTCTGCTTTTGCATTCTGTCCATAGGAATGCTGCGGCTCTTGAGAAAGTGGAAGTGGCTGCCAGTATACACTCCTTTAAGTGGTTTTGATCTGCTTAATGTTCAGCTCCATAAAGGCATTCACAGTTGTACCTACACACATTTCTTTGTAAAACTGATCACAAGGGAATGCTATATTGGGAGACTGTACTTTAAGAGCTCTTCAGAATAATTTATTCCTTTAAAACAAAGCATCATCCCTTATTTACGTTTTTGATCTTGCATTTCAGATATTTCTGGTATATGTGGTTCTATTACATTCATCACAATTAGGACTATTAGTGGAAGCATTGTAATCATCCTAGAATTACTTGCAATCTATTAAAATAAAAAAAAAACCTGCAGTAAAGAAAGCAGAACATTTTTGCGAATATAACTTCCTGTTAATTCAGATAACTGCAGCAAGCATTTGAGCAAAATGTGGATGTACTGAAATAGAGCAAACATTGCAGCAGTTGAGAAAGTGTGTGTATATGCAAATCCCATGAAAACAAAAATGTGCAATTCTTGGAATTTCAGACTTAAAATTTGTTCTTGTATTGAGCAAACCAAATAGTTCACTAAAAATTGTTTCTAAATTCTGTGGCACGTGTTACAGAAAATGTTAGAGTTTATCATGGTGTGTAATACACATTCTCATGTGTAATTCTTTTTAATAATGCTTCTGACCTTTTTTCTCAGCTGGGCGAATGCTTTACAGTAGTGAAACCATTTCAAGTCATAATAAATTATTTTGCTAACCTTTTGAAGAAGCTTTAATGAATTTTATTCTCTTACCAGTCGGATTGCCTGCACATTAAAGGAAATGAACTTTTGAGTTACATTTGGGTAGCTGAAAAAGCACCCTGAAGCAGAAACTAAGGAGGAGGAGCTTAACAGCATGTAAAATATTCCGCGTACAAAAGTGTCACAGTGCTCAGTTATTTTAAGATAGCATGTAGTATTCAATGCAAGTAGTTTTGAGTCTTACAGCATTGAAATCTCTTACTTTTTATATCAAGTTAAGAAATAAATTAATATATAAAGAATATGTAGATAGATTTGCAAATCATTAATTTTTTTAATGCCATATTCTCTTTCATTTTGGTTTAAAGGCAGTCTTCAGAAATAATTTAATTTTTTTAAAAAAAAAACAATATGACTCCTGTTTGCCTGTTGATGCCAGAAGTGTTAAGAGGATTTCTGTATTCAAGGTCAAGCCAAAAGGACCTAAAAACTTTGTGTTCTTTCCTAGGTGATCGTTTCAGGTCAGTGATAGATGATGCTTGGTGGTTTGGAACAATTGAAAGCCAGGAACCTCTTCAGCCTGATTACCCTGATAGCTTATTTCAGTGCTACAATGTCTGGTTAGCAAATTTATCTTCAATCTTTTATTTTAATTAGTTATTTCATTTGAAGTACTGACTGACCAACTTGCTTCAGTCATGCATCTCGCTGTACCAGTTTATTATAATACTCTGTGGTATAGAAATAAATTATGTTGCAAACATTAAATAACTATATTGTTGAAGCAATATTAGTAGATAATTTAAATGTGGTTATTTTTAAGCTGGGACAATGGTGATACTGAGAAGATGAGCCCTTGGGACATGGAGCTGATACCAAGTAATGGTATGGTACATTAATAATATAATTTTCTTTAAGAGTGTATTTAAAGAAAAAAAAAAAGGAAGTTGTATGATTTTACCTAAACCCTGTTTCTCTTGGGGAGTAGGGGGAAGGCCCACAAACCAGTTGCATTTGAAGAACATCCTTAAATCAATTACTAAACTAAAAGAGAATCCAGATTAATGAACCGCGAAAAAACATACAGCCATACTTAGGCAAACTAAGTGTATGTTGGAAATAGAAATGTTACGAAAACTTCTAACAGATGATGTACAGTTAAAGTTAACCTTTTGTACAGTTAGGGAGACTTAAAGATAAACCTGTGCCTTATATCAGCTTTGAGGAGACTGGCTGCTCTGAGACCTGCCAGCATGCCTGCAGACTTTCAGTGCATTGAAGACACAACATACGCCTGTGACATAGTTTGATAATAGGATTTGCTCCCTGTCTGGCCCAGCATGTGTGGCAGATAGACATGCTGCAGAGTAGACAGTTGAGAATGTAGTATTTCTTCTTTCCTTACTTAGCTTTTTTTTAATTAAGATTTCATAAAAGTCTGGTTAGAAAGTTAAGTAAAAATCAGCATTTTTCCTTCTGTTTTCTAGGAAACGTTTGACAGTATTGTCACTCAAAAGTAACATATGAGTAACCATAAATAATTCTTAATTCTTTTCAGTTGTGAATGTGTTCATTTCAACTTTTCATTTTGGTTCAATCCTCCTTTTAATGGGTACCTCTTCATCATCAGTAAAATACAGAAGTTAGAGTGATGACTAAAGCAATTAAAATAGGCAGATAAACAAACCTGAACTTGATTTTTTTTTTTTTTTTGCTGTATCCACAAATACTGACTTTTGTTACTCTTTTTTTTTTTTTTTTGAGGAGCACTTTGCACCATACTCTGAAAATCTGCTGTTACATTATGAATTGTCAAAGTTGGGTAGGCCCTCAAGAATGCTAGGGTGGTGGCACTTTTAATTGGCTTTCTCAAGAGCTCTGGTTTTAGCATTTGACCTCACAAGACTGTGACAAGGTGGAACCACTACAGTTCCAAATGTTTTAGTGTCAACATCAAAGTCATTATCTTAAACTCCATCTGAAAATCATCGTCCATTCATTACAGAAATCATTACCAAGAATTTTGAGGTTTAAAAAAAGCAACTCCCAAACCAAAACACAAACTTTAACTGTGATAAAGGAGTGTCTTACCTGGTTCTAAAATAAATTCTATAATTAGCTATTCAGAAGAGGAAAAATCTTTTTTCATGGAGGACTTTATACCAAACTGCATTGTAAGGATTTAAATTTAACATACAACAATATATGGAAAGGATATTGGATGCATACAGAATGTCTTTGAGCAAATCAAGAACCGTGCATTTGTTTTGGGTTGGTAAAATGACGTTAGATATCTTTTAATTGTATGTATAGGTATTACACAAGATACAAAGATATATGTTTTATTTAGTTCTCATGTTACATTCTAGCTGTATTTCCAGAAGAACTGGGAACTAGTGTTCCTTTAACAGATGATGAGCGTAGAACGCTGCTCTACAAACCTCTGGATGGAGAGTGGGGTTCCAGGACCCGAGATGAGGAGTGCGACAGAATTATTGCAGGGATAAACCAACTCATGACTCTAGGTAAATCCTGAGTAATGTGGGAGATGTTTCTGTGTTACATTTTTCAGGCTATGTTTGTGTACTTCTGAAATTACCAAAAATGAATGTGATAAAATACACCTTTTTACCTCTTAACTGGAACAAAGCTTCCTCATTGCAAATTTTTAATTTTTTTCATATAGTGAGTACATACAACAGCTAAATTTTCTCCTGTTTTCAAAGGTAACTCACTTTTTGGTAGATAATTTGACATGTCATACGGGTTTGGGTTTTACATGCTAAAAACAAGTACTTTTTTTTTTTTTACCTGAACTATCAATTTCTTGTTGGGGTTAAAATTGCAAACTTTATGATGAACAGAATATTAACTATAGTGCAGGCAGATAGGAAAAAAGAAGTCTTACATACTTCGAGAATGGATACCTATGTGTAGATTTCCCTTGTGTTAGCCTTTTCTCATGCCCATTTTCTAGCCCACATTGCCTTAGTTGTGCAAAACGTTGAGGAAAAAGCAAAATGTTGAGGATAAATCAATTGATTAACTTATGAAAAGCCGCTATTTGGTTGTAGAGCAATTACTCTTTCCAGGCAGCTTCTGAAAAGGTAATTGGTAAAGCATTTAACACCACTCCAACACTTATATCGTCAAAAATGGGTGTCTGAGATGGAGATCCATCAGTGAAATACAGGTTGAATCATAAGTCTTGTATGTTTTATGATGAGCAAACTCTGTTAAGTCGGCAGTCTTAGGTTTTTGGTAACAGTGGTCAAAAGTAAATATATAAGTTGTCACGTAATTTTTTTGTAACTCATTTTTAAGTGCTTGAGGCAAGGTAAGATGCTCATGTTTCAAAAAAGCCAAAACCCTCTTAACTCTTGAAATACTTCTGATGTCTAAATGTTGCACATTACTACTTCTGTGGTGTCATACTGCATAAGAAGCTTCCCTTTGCTTCCAAAAGAAAGGAAATATCCATACAGTGCACTAATCCAAAGTACAGAATTACATTTAAAAAACTTGTGAGGAAATTTAAATTTTAGTTGTTTTCACTGTATTGTCTAAGAGGTTTACATTTTGCATTATGTTGTGTGGTATACTGCTTATTTTGGGATTTAACTGTAGCATATGTGGTGCATAATGGTACAAAGTAGCAGTTGCTAGAACATTCATAAGAATAAGTAAACAGCTTTTAGAAGAAGAGCAGTTTGTTTAGCAACAACATATTTTCTGTTTTTAAAGACTTTAGAGAGAGACTTTAAAGGGCTTTTACGTTTTTGTATTACTGTATTTTCCCTTGAGGTGTAAAGTTAGCATGATGTGTCTAAGCACCTATGATGCTTCTAAGCACAGGAGGAAAAAACGAAGTTTGTGTAGGTGCACAGATTTAAATTACTCCGCAGTCTTCTAGCATTATGGTGGATTGGTTTTAGAAGGCTTCTTTGCTGTTAGGTAGGAGCAGGAGATTGTTTTTATTTTGAATGTGGATTTTCCCCATATCTTAATGAGAGTGAAAAAGTACTGTAACTTTTATGGTAAGAATTTAATGATTGTTTTGTTTGAAGATGGGAAAATGGCAATATAAAACCAAATGAAATGAGCCTGTGTTGTAAATAACAGTACTGAATCGCATGTCTTCATACATGTGTAACACAGACATTTAAATATATTTTTTGAATGGGTGTATTTTGCATGCACTTGCCATGTCTCTGAGGAGCATGGTGTTTCATGCACAAGAATGGGTAGTCACTGCAGTGATTGTGCTTAACAGCATACACCTCAGCAAACATTTTTATGTGTAAAAATACCACAATTTGTTCAGAGTATCTAGCATAGTTGTTATTTTGGGGAAAGCGCTATGTGTTTCAAACATGAAGAAATAGCATATCTTGGGGGGGGACTGGATCTTGAAATTGCTAAAGGACTTTTGTGGTATAACTTTGTTTGTGGTTTGTTTTCTTTTTTGTTCTTCCCCCTCCCCACACCCAATCCCTGTTCATTCTATCTAGATATTGCTTCTGCATTTGTGGCACCTGTGGATCTTCAAGCTTACCCAATGTATTGCACTGTTGTGGCATATCCCACAGACCTCAGTACCATAAAACAAAGACTGGAAAGCAGATTTTACAGGTTAGATCCAAGTCTTGGTTCCTGCTGTGAAATGCTGCCAACCATATTTTTGGTAGCTCTTTGTCTTGTAATGCCCAACTAGGAGATGGGTACAGGTGTGCACTTTCAGTTTCTCCCATCTCCTCTCCTTGGTCTAGATTTCCATTTTACAAAGCTTTAAAAAGGATTGAACATCTCTTCTCCAACATGTATTTTAGAATTATAAGGCATTCAGATTCCTCCTTATGCAAATGGATTGTTCCATGTGAGATTCAAATTGCAGAGCCAGGGACTAGTTCAGTAAAATGACTTTTAGTCAAAAAGATTAAGTTTCTGTTTCATAATTTTTTTAATCTGTTTTTTTTAATCAGAGAAATCTTAGAAATGTTTCAAGTGCTTTTGTCCTAATGTACTTTAAAAAATAAATAAATAAAATCTTAGCATCACTTAAGAAGCTACACAGAAAATAGCTTCTTAAATTGTTGGCCTTCAAATTCTAAATTGTTGGACAGCAACAAAAGTAAGTTTTAATGTTTTGATGTTTTCCTGAACTGTTTGCAATTGCTATATTTTTTTTTTTTTTTCAGTAAATATCTATGTAGGAGTATGCTTGTTTAAATTACTTCTGTTTCCTTTGGCTCTTGGGATAGTTCTGTTTGGAAAATCAATGTCCCTCTAATACTTTTTTTGAATAAACGTGGATAGCATTTGGGTTTGGGCCAAATTTTAAAGTTAATTTGTAGTACTTTATGCATACTAACTGAAGATTGAGTTCTAAATTAAAATAACTTTTTCATTTTCAAAAATATCACTGTTTTTATATTATAATGCAATAATGCACATTTATTGTTCCATGTTTATTGTGTGATCTAAGATAATCCAACTTTGCTTTCTATAATGTACTGCTTTGCAAATCCAAGGTGAGAAGGACTTTCTACTGTATTTTGTTTCTCTTGTCAAAAGAATAAACAGTTATTTTTGATAATTAGCATACCTTATTCAGTAAATCTGTTTTTAGTAGTTTGTAGTATTGCCAAGGCCTGGCTAGGTAATACACAACTGCCTTGTGTGAAAATTTGTTCTTTACCTTCTGCAAGAGGGACTGTTCAAACTGCTTGTGATTTTGGTAGCTTTTCGTGAGGCGTATGTACTTTCTCTCTCCTGATCCAGGAGTCTTAGCATGCTGTGTGTTTTTAAAAAATACAAAACAGAGAAATACAATCTTTGCCAGTCACTGCTGGCACTGTGTAGAACTAAATGCTGGACCCATAAACATGATTAAATTGCTTATGCTACACTAAACATGTTCAGTGGTCCCCTGCTTCACTCTACAAAACACTTGTGCAGCATTTCTTTTCATCGTGTTTTGGTAGTATGAAAATAGGAGATGTATGTATTTGTAACTGCCATGCTATCAAAGTTTTTATCTGAAATAGTATGTATTTCCCTTTTTTTACTGCATCTTTTTTTAGATTTTTTCCCTTTTTTTTACTGCATCTTTTTTTAGATTTTAAATTTTTTTCAGTTCTTTTTGCTCTTGTGCATCATTTTTCATAATGTTGTGGCTATTCTATAGTTAGGTCATTAAATCAGAGCTATGTGAGTAATTCTGAGCGTTGTCTATCTGTCAGAAAAAATGTATACTTTCAGTAATTTTTTATTAGTATTTCGTTAATCCTTAGCTGTGTTTTATGAGGTGATATAGGGTAGGTTATGTATATTATAAATGAATAATAAAAGCAAGTGTCACAGCTGAATTTTCCTAAGGATCATCAGCTGTATGTTCTTAAAGGCATTTGTATAAATTATTGCAGGTCATAAGACGAGAGCAGGAAGCCTGAGGAAGCTGCCCTTCTGCTGGTCACTTAGGGCAACGTATCAAAGTGTGTGTTCTCTGATTTAATGTAAAAAAAAAAAAAAAAAAAAAGATGAATGGGATAATACACTGGAAGAAGGTTGTAAGGCTTTTTCTCCTGTTTCATAGACCGTGCCAGAAATAAAGTCTGTTGTCTTTTCCCCACCCTCTTCCCTCATTCCATACACAGGCGCCTTTCTTCATTAATGTGGGAAGTCCGGTACATCGAACATAATACTCGCACATTTAATGAACCTGGAAGTCCTATTGTCAAATCTGCCAAATTTGTCACAGATCTTCTGCTACACTTCATAAAGTGAGTGGCTTAGTAGGTCTGTTGTTAATCCTATCTCTTGCCAAGGTATTTAAGCCTTTTTAGATCTGAATTTTAAAGTGAGATAGCTCTACCACTTGAATATGCCTGTGTCTGCTGTTGGGGCAGAAAAGAATAAAGCTTGTCTTGACGAAGAGTACCTAAGTTTACAAAACAAGGTGCAGTTTTATAATACATTGATTGGCATGGCATTTTATTTCAAGAGGCTTTCTGCTAGATGACAAAAACGGGTCTAAATATCTTCAAAGAGTGATAGATGCATTTACAGGTAAGAGTTCTAATTTCCAGTTTGAATATTGCCTATGTTAATACAATGGTGGGCATTTAGTTTTAAAGTTTTTACAATTTATAACGTGATTGAAAATGCTGTTTCATATGCAAAATAAAAATTGGAGGCTTTGTAGTCGACAGAAATACTAGTCTTTCAGAAGTTCTTTTTATTATTGTCTATAGAAAAACTTGGGTGAGAAATCTTGCAGATTTCTCAAATCAGTTGACACATCTGGAGACCTGAAGTTTGTAAAAGAGCTTACTATGTGTGTCTACTGTCTTGGTTTGCTTGCACACAGTGAATGCTGCTGTTCCAACCTTGTAGAAATGGCAAGATAATTCACTAGTCTAACAAAAATCACAGCACTTTCAGTGATGTAATTTCTCAGTGTTAAATTGAATCGTGTTCTTTTTTATTTGGTGTGGTCTTAAAAACATTAGAATTGCATGATGTATTTTGGAAATCTAGGACTTTGTCTTCATACATAGATCTTGTTGTTGTCTTCAGTGCCTGTGATTTCTGTTATTGGCTGGAGAGTGAAAAATACTTAACTGCTTCAGATGTTAGAATTTTTCATTAAATATACCTTTAGGAACAGATATGTATCTAAGAGGCTTCTCTATTACTAATTTTGTTCTTTAATATCTTTGTCCTACGTGGCTTTTTTCTGATTAATTAAGCAGGTCAGGGTTTTTCAAAGTGTCTGTTTTTAATTGGCTTAGCTAAATCAGTGCAACACAGAGTTATTCTTATTTAATAATGGCCTATAGCTTGTGTCTGTTAACATACACATTTAAGTGAACTAGCAATGCATATAAAGCCCAGCCTTTTTTTTTAGGGTTCTAAATACAGGGTAGAAGGCCTAGACTGTGAAATGCAAATCACGTGGTTCTAATGAGTGTGAAATATCTAAATGCCTCTGAGAATCTAAGGCTTAGTCTCTAAGCTACCCGAGTCTTTTAAAAAGAAGATGATGGGGGGGTGGGGTGGGGTGCGTGCTTGATTTTTTTTTTTTTTCCCCCTCCCCTTTCTTTCTTCCCCAGCTGTTCTAGTGATAATCACCATAGCCTGTATTATGGATTACGATTCCAGTATAGAGTTGCTGAGCGTTTACTGCTTTTTTTTCTGGTGGTTTGTATTGCTACATAGTAGAACACCTTTGGGCTTGCTTTTGTGTAGGATTTTGCTATGTTATGCAAGAATTGAAAATCAGTATTTGTTTTGTGGAGTTAATGATACAGGTTTATACAGGGCCCCAAAGTCCTTTATGTGGTATAGTAATAGATTTTTCTAATGCTATTAAATTCATGGTAAAGGCTTATGATTCGTAATGTTAAAACATTGACACTCTTAAGTGGTCTCTTATACAGAGTGCAGATAGTATTTTACAGCTTTTTGAGCAGATTAGCTTTTCTTATTACTGCAGTCCTCTTAGTATTCATACAGCACTAAACAATTTATTGATAGTTTTATTTGGGAATGGCTTCATAAACATTTTCCTTATCCTAGGCAAAATACAGTTGATCCATAGGTGAAGATGGAAAATAAATGTTAGTGTATATTTTTTTTTACACAGAGACCAGAGTTGCTATGACATCATTCCATTATACAATGCAATGAAGAAGAAAGTATTGTCTGACTCTGATGAGGTAAGTGGTTGTGTCTTAGACATTGGCATTGATAGACTGGAGAAAAGGGATCACTGTCTCTATCCTACTGGAGACAAAAGTACTGTTTTCAGTTGCTGTAAGGGAGTGGTGTGTACTTTTCCGTCAATTAAATGTTTCTTCTTGTCAGTTGGGAAACTGGGTAAAAATCCAGCCTCCTCTTCTCCTCTAGTACAGGGAGCTTTAATGGTTTATTTGAGAATTCAGATGGTGCTTAGAATTCTGAGAGGTTCTCAGAACTGATGGTCACATGAAATGCTTCCCAGATGAAGAGGGATAGAACTGTAAAGGCTCAAATTATAAGTGAAGTATAAAAGGGCTCACCTACTCATATACGCTTGTATTTTTTTAACCTTTTTATGCGACTCATTATCTTGCTCAAAGGAAGAAGAGAAAGATACAAATGTGCCAGGAACTTCCACTAGAAAAAGAAAGGTAAATATTTTTCTTCATGATTTATAGTGCTATACATAATTAGACATGCATTTGTAAACAAAGGAGTGTAAAACCAAAAAAGTTTTTATTATCGTGTAATCTCAGGTTTTGCAAAGTTTGGAACTTAGTGACATGTTGTTCTACTGAGTTCAATGTAAAAGCATTTCTGTCTGTGCTGTTGTGTGTTAGTGAGTTCGTTAATTAGAATTTGTATCCTGCAGGGTACCTTTTCCATTAGATTTTTGTAAAAACAGCTAGTTTATTTAATACATACCAGAAAATACTGTCATTTCAGGATCATCAGCCAAAGCGGCGGCTACGTAATAGAGCTCAGTCGTATGACATTCAATCATGGAAGAAGCAATGCCAGGAGCTGCTGAATCTCATTTTTCAGTGTGAAGACTCTGAACCATTTCGACAACCAGTGGATCTCCTTGAATATCCAGTGAGTATTTTAGAACAGGAAAGATGGTTATAATCCAGTTGTTAGGTGGTTTGTGGGTTTTGAGGTGTTTTTTCCAACTGTGACCATTCAGAGGTTCAGTTTTAGGCTGACTACCAAGTTTGAGCCGTTAAGCCACACAGAGTTTGTAGTCACGTTTTCACATCACAGTTACGTTCATGGCAGTTTGTCAGTAATATAACCATTAGGACACAAAATTTTGAGCTCTGTATTTCAGTAAATCTGTTTACAAAATTAATTAGATGTTGTATCAGTTAACTTCTCAATCCTGTTGAGTATGTCTGAGGAGTTACATTGTGCATGAGTAGAAAGGAACAAAACGTCTTTAGTAGTCTTCAATACCTACTTAAAGAGGACATTTGGTTTAAACAGGTTTATCAAATGTGTCCTAATGAAAATGATATGTTAAGACTTCGGAAAAAAAATTGTAATACATGGCTTTGCTATTTCTTAACAGGATTATAGAGATATTATTGACACTCCTATGGATTTTGCTACTGTTAGAGAAACGCTGGAAGCTGGCAACTATGAGTCACCGATGGAGTTATGTAAAGATGTGAGGCTCATTTTCAGCAATTCCAAGGCCTATACACCAAGTAAAAGATCAAGGGTAAGACTTTATTTTCTTTTTTTGTTGCTTGAAAGAATACTTCCATCTGAAAAATACAGGACAGAAAAACAGACAATGTAATTGATCACTTCAAAAACAAGTTTAATTATTTCTGATCTTTAAACATGAATATTTCTGAGAAGGTAGCATAGCTTTGTATTTTAAGGGGAAAGAACATACGCTGTTTAATGCCTAAAGTTCTGATGTTCTGCAAGTGTGTTTCAAAAGTAATTATTTGAAAGTGGATCTAAAGGGAGAACCACATTGAAGGAAAGTTCTGTAGAAACATGATTGTGGGTACAGTAGTGGAATTTAACTGATGTCTTTGGGGTAGAAACTGTATTTTCAAAACACAGACAAGAGCCCCAAACTGAAATACCCAGGTATAGAGTAGAGGATAATGACAATATATGCTGTTCATTGGTATGCAGTGAGATTGTAATGAAGCACTTAAGATTTCTGTGAAACAGAACTGTTTACATAAAGCATTAGTGTACAGAGCCATTCTTACTGAGCTGATACTGAAATGCCCTGCCAGTGGTAGAGTTAATAATTGAGTTGTAGGTGCAGTATCTGTTAGCAGTGGAAGTTATAAATGTACATTTACACACTTCAAGGCTTCTGTGTAGCTTTTCTTCTTCTAACATGCTTTAAGTGGTAGGCTAGAATTATTAATAGCTTTTATGTTTGGCTCTTGTAAATAGCAAGTTAATCATCAGGACTTTCCTGTCTTAAAGGCAGGGACAAATTCCTTAGTAGGTGTGTAGCAAGAAAGACTGATCAGCAATTGGTCTCTCTTCAGTCAGTAACAGACACCCCCACTCACTATTCGGGCTGTCTAAGATTCAGTCTCTTGTCTTTTGGTTGCATCAAGGGCAGGGCTTGTGGCAGGTCCGGATTCTTTTGTGGTTTTTCTTTCTTGATCTCCTCAAACCAAGAGGGGAGAATGCTTGACATTATCTTAGCTCCAGTGTGGTTTCACACATTGTTCTGACATTTGCGTATTATTTCATGTTTCTTCAAACGGACTGGTATAGTAGTAAACTTGTAGCTCTCTTAAATTTAGTTCTACTAAATTAGAAGTGGAAGGTTCTGATGTCAAGAATTCTAATATTCCAGAACCTGTGTACTTTCGGTGCATGCAACACAGTTGTTGAATGGTGATGTTGTTACTCTGACTTGTCATTCAGCGGTATTTTTAGTATCTTACTTTACATCAGTGATGCTTACTTGAAGGATACACCTAAACCAGTCAGCTTTTTTTTCTCCTTGGCAGATTAAACATACATTTTTATACAGTTTTTTACATACTTCTTCATGAAATCCTTCTTTGGATGCCCTCTCCAGTAATGCATTCAGAATCTGTGGCAGTTACTGTTTAGTCTGGCACTCAGTTTGTCTGGTGTGTCATTAGGTAGGCAACTGTTAGAATATTGTCTTGATTTTCATATTCTAAGAAGGTGCCCTGTCCTCTCATAAAGTATCTAGACAGTTCAGTTCTGTGTTTTTGTTTCCAGCAACTGTGCTCAAATAATTAGTTGTGACCTAAACTGAGTGGGATCGGGTGTCCCTGTAAATCAACCAAGGCTAGAGGGGGGGAAAAAAAAAAAGAGAAGAAAAATGTGCATCTACATAATTCTAATGCTTTTGTTGTGCCTGTTGCAGCCAATGCACTGGTAGTATCAATTCATCCATAAGAGGAATAGACTGATGTTCAAATATAGGATATAAGGATGCAACAGGAGAAAATTAGATTTCTTGACCCTAGGTATGATACAGTAGAATTCTGCTAAGGATCTCTCTTTGTGTTTTCTGCTGAAGCTAGAAAGGGGTGCATTCGGGACAGGCAGTTGGGAAGGGACAGTTGGAAAGGTGGCTTTTCTAATTTTTCCTTTTGTGGGTGATCATCAGTTGTAATACACTTTTCAAAACCATGAAAATAGTTAAAGCAAACCTACATGTGGATTACAGTAGATTTCTTAAGACAGACTGTAAATCTCCTTAAAACATCTCCATATTAATCAGTTTACTTTTCTAGCTATTGCGCAATGATAAATAAGTAAAATGATGCTTCAGAAAATTATAATACTTGTCTACTGGCTTTTCTTTTTTAGATCTACAGCATGAGTTTGCGCCTTTCTGCTTTCTTTGAAGAACACATAAGTTCTATTTTATCGGATTATAAATCTGCCCTACGCTTTCATAAAAGAAATACAATAAAGAAGCGACGGAAAAAAAGAAGTAGAAGCAGCTCAGTTTCCAGTAGTGTTGCATCCAGGTACATTAATTCCTTTACAGTATTCATGAAACGCTGTGCAAATTTGACATACCTAAACAGAAGAACTTAGTGTGTCTTTTTTCTTAATACTTGCTTTACTATTCCCTGTATTGCAGAATGATAGCTTTGGCATGCAAGTCCCTATGATGTGGAAGAGTTTTAAACTTTATTAGAGCTATCCTAGTGTAAGTGCTTAAAATTGAAATAACTGCTAAACGTATACAATAAAACAGCATTGTGAGGATAAGTGATGGCATCATGCTTTGTCGTAGAACTATAGCATGTACTGTGAAGATTCACTTTTCAGAGACTCACAACTACGTGAATTTCCACAGTAAATGACATATTTTTTTAACACATTTCATGCAGAGGTGGTTGTTTAACTCCTATGATCTCGGACACTATCATGTAATGTTATTTATTCCTGCAAAATAAAAAAGTGGTCATTGAGGATACAAATTGTTACTCTTTTTGCAGCCCTGAAAGGAAGAGGAGATTAATAAAACCTCAGCTGAAGGCAGAAGCTTCTGCCACCTCGTCATCTTCTGCACCTGCACGGTCAACAGTACTGAGACATGCTCCACCTCAGATGAATGGAAAAGCAGCTGAAACTGCTTCCCTTGTGCGGACTCGAAGCAATAGGGGGATAACAGATGTGGCTGTTACAGAGCAACCATCTACTTCTTCAGGAGCAAAGCCTTTAACAATAAAGCCTTTAATTACAAAGTCCAATACTACTGCAGGGTCAGGAAAGTCAGGCAAGTTGGTTTTTTGGTTGTCTTTTAAGCTGTGAATGTTTTTAAACATAAAACTTGCTTCTTGATTTGTCTCAGTTAAGACTGGTTCTGTTTTCAAGCTGCTGGGCCTTTGAAAGTTAAGCTATGTTATTTTATCCAGGAAGCTTTCTCACTTCTAGGTCACTGAATCAAATTGTTTGTTTGTAGTAGAACATTACTTTCTTTTTAGACAGATAAAATTCAATGTGGTATAAACTACTTAACTTAAATATTCTTTTTTTTTCCCAGTACTGGAAAATTCAACCAAACATTCCAAGAACCAGAATACTGTATCAATCCCTAGTCAGTCTGATTACAGTCATAATACTAGGAATAACTCCACAAGAGAAAATCCCGAGAAAGAGAAGCAAATCAAGCGCAAAGTAAAATCTTCCACTGTTAATCAACAAGGTATGGAATTTCTTTGGAACTTTACACCCCAGTTATTAAGGTAGTGGCTGTAGTATTGTACCTTAGTTGTGATAATTTGGGGGTGGGGAAATTAGTATGCATTATGATTTAGCAGAACAGAGGAAGTCTAATGGAACAACTCAGTCACAGTTTGTTTCCTTCTTGATAAATTAGTATAGTTTTGACTACTCGTAGCACCATTTCCATGGTGTGATAACTGTGTTGTCTAGACAATTTTCATACATAAATATGCCTATACATCCATTTGAATTATTATGGGGTCATGTTACAAGTTCGCAGATTCCAAAGCAGACTTCTGCAAGGTCATACTTTTAAACCCTGTGGGTTTTACCTAATAAAACTTCTATGGGTTATATTTGGGTCAGGAACACTGAGGGTGATGACACTCTCCACAAGCATAAAGATCAGAGCATCCCAGTTGCACCTGTGTTCTTTCATTTTTTTGCCCCAGAAAAATAGAACTATGCAGTGTTTACTGCTTCTGTTTAGTATATTTGTATGGATTGATTGGACCTAGTTTCATGTAATCTTCTGACTGAATTTGCTTGGTCTTCCAATGTCTGGATATCTTAAAACTCAAAGCTTCTGTGGAGATTGAAATGCGATCTCCTAGTCGTAAAAGCTTTCCTGTTTATGAAGGAGCTTTGAACTGTTATGAAGCTGCTATGAAGAATCTAGATCCACTAAGCATCTTTTCTCTGAAGATGGACAAACAGTAGTCTGTAAACTGGGCCCCACCTAATGAATCTGGTTACTCCTTGTAGTCATCCTCTCCCTGGAATCATCTGTTCTTTCTTACTCTTCCATGCTTCTGAAAAAGCAGCTTGTGGTCTGATAAGTTAAATAACTTGTCCATTCCTTGAAAACTCTCACAAAGGCCTCGGCTGTTACCACATTGCATGGCTAAATATGCACCCATTATACAACTGGATGTGTGGTCTTGTCAGAGATAGCTGAATGCTGTTCAACTGATCCTTCCTCTCCTGTACATCAGCTCGTATCACAGTGCAGGCCTGTGCTTTTAGTGCATGATGGGACACATTTGAACGTAGCAGGAGCTGTGTGTGGATGTTCCATCAGAGGACTGGATGCACTACCATGCTGGCTGGCTATGAGTCTGTTCCTGGTCATGTTTTAGGCAAGGGCTCTGGTATCAGAACATCTCCATAGGAGGTCCTGTGACATTCCCCACTGAGGAAGTAGGGTACCACCCACCTAAGGAAAAACTCATAGCCCTTAAAAGTCTCCAGGCAAATACCTTCTGCCATGTGTCTGTTAATGGCAGAAATCTGTGCAAATTGCATACTTTAACAAAAAAAGAAGTCTCCTGCATTTCTAACCTTTTCCTCGCTTACTGTTGAAGTAGCCCTGGTCTAAGGGACTGGCTACAAAGGATGCTACCTCAGGCTGAAAGAGACTTTTTCATTTCTCCAGAGATGACCTGCTGCGATCTGTTCCTGATCCTTGCAGCAACACTTCTTGAGCAGCTTTTTGCTGTTGTGGATACAAAATAGGAGGTTTTCTCCACTGGTGGTATATCAGCCAAAAAAAACACTTAAGCTGTTCCTTTTTTTTTTCTTCCCCCCTCCCTCCCCCTTCAAGCTACCTTGAACTAAACCGAACTAGAAGTTAGTCCTCGTTGCATACTGGCATGAAGCTCTTCGAGCTCTACTTTGGGTTTTTTAGATTTTGACAGATTGACAATCACTGTGAATGCATTCAGATAGTTCAGTAGAGTTTTATTAGAGCAATGTGAAGACAAATGTAAATGCAAATCTGTTATAAGTACTCTCATTTCTTTACAGCAGATTGCAAGAATAATGCCTTGGCATCAGGAAGCATTCAGGTAAATGGGCACGGAGGACAGCCTTCAAAGCCTCCAATTAAAAGAGGTCCCGGACGGAAACCGAAGGTGGAGACTAATAACAGTAGCTGTGAAGTGGTACACAAGAAAAGAGGCAGAAAACCAAAAAAGCTACAAATTATTGAGCAGCAAAAGGTTGCAGAACAGAATGCAGTCCAGACTGCAAGGGATATACCAGAAGAAGCCTCTGCTTCTACTGCATCCAATTCTCTTTCTGAAAATAATATGAAGGAAGACTTGTTACAAAAAAAAGGCCGTGGGGGTAGAAAGCCAAAAAGAAAGATAAAGACCCATCAGCCGGGCTCGGACGTTTTAGTTCCTGCGAATGTTAAAATGCAGACAAGAAGCAGGAGGAAAAAGATAGACGAGCCTATGGAGGAGGGGTCTGAAGAGCTTAAAGATTCTGAACCTCACATGAGAACTAGAAACCAGGGTAGGAGGACAGCCTTTTACAATGAAGATGACTCTGAGGAAGAGCAAAGGCAGCTATTGTTTGAAGACACCTCCCTAACTTTTGGAACATCTAGCAGAGGCAGAGTCCGAAAGTTGACTGAAAAAGCAAAAGCTAATTTAATTGGTTGGTAATTTTTACCAAGGGTTTTACTTCAGAATGGTATGAAGCAGGTACAGTTAAGGAACAGCAGAACAGACTTCTGCTTCCCTGCTGCTATTATGGGTTAGAAGAAAATGTTCTGATTTGGGGAGAAAAATTTAGCAAAAAAATAAACTGAAAGAACATTCTTTGAAAGAAATATATATTTTAAACTTTTGCTATTTATTGCCCTCCAGATAGGTTATGCATTTCAACAGTCATTTTATTCACAGTTGAGAATAATTGAAGCAATTTCTGACTGACGGAGTTGAGAACTACTCTGCTGGAGTAGTGCGTAGTATCGCTACACAATTAAAAAAAGGTGATAAAACTTGTAATGCCACAAACTGCAAGCAGAAGTCTATTTTTGACCAAGCAAGGTACACTTTGATTGTAAAGTCAAGTTGCCTAGGAAGGCAGGTTTCGGCAAAAAGTGGCAGTAAATTCACTTACATTTCTATTAAATACAAAAATACCAAACTTTGCTAATCTGAAAATGCTCAATTTCAGTTGTGATGGAACGTTAACTGCAAAAGAAGCCTAGCACAGGCTGTTGGTTTATCCAAGTTCTGCCAAACATAGCAAAAATGTAATCACAAATATATATATATATATCCACATTGGAAAAAGTTTGACTAATGTCTAATTTTTCAGACCTTGATTCTTGTATCAATCACTAAATCTCTGTTTATTGTGCCAAAGACTGAGAATCAGTGCAGTGGAAAGCCTTTTTTTCTTTTTGAGTGTCAGTACAGCATACCATTTGCAGTGATACAAGCTGTGTATTGTTTTAAATAGGAAGTTGTTAACATTGTTCTGAAATGTATCCTTTTTGGTACTTTTGGTAGAAAATAATGCACTGGTGGGGTCCTTTGACAGAGATCTTTTAGACAAAATGTATAATTGGTTAAAGGATTCAAGGAAACTACAGGACAGGTATAGAATTATGATGTTTACTTTCTGATCCAGATTGATTGTTGTTTCTACAACTTTAGACATGCTTAAGAGGCTAAAATGACCTACAAAGAAAAGTGTATGTGTATATATTAATATATACATAAACACATACATATAAAATATTACCCAGGTATACATTTTTTTCAGGATTTTTTAGATAGCACTAGAATTGAAAATAAATTTTAAAATGTCATACTTTATAGTTTAATTTTAAGGGGAAGATTGGTTATTTTCAATTATTAAGGTTAAAAGGCCAAATCACTTTTTATGCAATCATGTTTTATACAGTGGTCTCATTGCACATTGTGTTTTTCTGCACTTTTTATGGTATATCACGCTGACATAAGTCAATATACACCCTAAAGAAAAATTCCATTTAATGATTGTGCCTTGTATTCTATTATTTCTTGCATCCTTAGTAAAATTAAGTTGTCTATTGTAAATGATAACTATATGACTTAGGGGAATGTATTGTTATATGTACTGCTCTGGAAAAGGAAAGCAGTTATTTATTTGTTTATGGTACATTTAGTTATTTTATACCTTTACAAACAAACTTTAATACCATTTTCTATCACTTAAAAAAGTATTGTCCAGTTTTCAAGGAAAAAAAAAATATGGAAGTAGTCATATCTTCTGAGATCTGGTATGGTACAAAAATGTAACCAAAATTTTCTGGTTATACATGATTTTGGAAGCTTGGGTAGTGCGAAAGACGTGTGTGTGTGTGTGTGTGTGTGTGTGACCCTAACTTAGTTGAAGAAATAAACCTGAAATGAAACCTCAATTCTGTACACCCTTACTTTATAACAACTTTTTGTTTTTTTAAACATCCTCTGCAATATCTGGAAGGGAGGACATACAGAATTAAGACCTTAAACTTGCACAGATTCTGTGTACTTATTTGGGGCCTAATTCTTCATTCTCTATTTTCTGTTACAAAAAAAAGCTTAAATGGTTGAACAAAGAACATTGGTATTTGGCACCAAGAGGAATAGAATTATGCTATTGTGGATAGCAAGTTGGTATCCACCATACTTAGTTTGTTGTAGTTCCTTATGCATTTTTCTACAAAAAATGACTAAAATACTTTCCAGATTCTCTTTGAATTGTTATGGATATGAATTTGGGGAGCAGGGATTAGCTTGCATTTCATTTGTTGGTATATTTATTTTTTCTAACAAATATTTATCATTCAGTTAAAATTGAGTCACTAAACGTGGTAGGCTAACAAGCTATGGTCGCACAGTTGCAATACAGCTTCACAGTTCAAAGCTACTTGATTCTACTTGTTAATTTTGTCAGATCTCACTGATGAAGGCAATCATTTGAAAATGTGTAATTTCCTGATGTTATCTGCATTGTAATATGTGAAATAGATTATATCTAAAATTAAACTTCTTTATTTACTCCATTTGTAATAATATTTTATATGGCATGTTTATGTATATATTTATGTAACAAAAATACCTTGTACGTAAGTTTTGGAGACTGAAATAATTCCCATCAGGTAGAAAATTGTACATCTTAATTTTACAAGAATGGAAGGCCTCACCTGCAGAAACATGGGTACTGCTTCCCACCCAGTAATATCAGTGACTTTAGACAGTAATTTTTTAATTCATATTGGACACATTAATGTTTTTCCTTTTAAAATAAATGGTGGATAATTTGGGTCAATTTTTTTCATGTAGAAGCAACACTAAAAATTTATTAGTAATTGATATCAGATCTATTTAAAAGTTACATTTTTATAATCTAAGTTCACTAGGTTGCAAACTTTATTTATGAGACTTTAGTCGCCATCAAACTGCATTTTGGTAGGGGAAAGATGTGTTACTTCAGGTTGTGGCATACTGTGTCGACAGAAGAAGAGCTTTTGATTACAAAATCTTTAAGTTTTTAAATGTGAGCAATAAACTTACTGGTCAGTGTTCTGAAATAATTTAGAACTATAGTTATATGCATGTTTTATAATGCCATCTCAAGTACCTAACAGCTGGTTCAGAAAATGGAGTATCAAAATCTGATGTGCTTGTTTCATGTATGCATTGTAAATATTACATAGGTTCATAGTCACATACACGCAAACAGTCTTGCAGACCTGGCAGCAATTAACGCAGTTTTATTCATTCGATTCATTTATATTTGACCTGGATATGAGGATACTGTTCTGCTATTTCTGCTCTATGCTGGGCAATGTTAAAGTTGGTATTTACTGCTGAGTGGTACCTTAATAACAGTGTGTTCTCTAGCTACTGGTGAGGAAATAACTTCTGTTTCTGTGATAACCAGTGTGCTCTAAATGTTTAACAAATCATTGTATCTGTGCCTACGTACTTAACAACTCTTCAGCAATTTTGTTTTCTGTTGTTGCTGTGTGCTCTGGGAACTGAACTTAAATTTGACCACTATAGTGTTCATTAATGTCAATACTGAACTAGAGCTCCTTGTCACTCGGCAATGACCAGTGATCAACTTTACAGAAAAATGTCTTCCTCCAGTGATTAGACTGCTGTGATATATATTTGCATATGTTTATTTGTACAGTGTCCGGTTTGTACATGTGATAAGTTTGTTGATAGAATTGTAAGGTTGAGTTGGTTGAGTTAAATATTACTATGGCTTAATATTTGTAAAACTATTAATTGATAAAGGACCCTGATGCAGCACGTAGGATATATTAATATCTATTTAAAAAAATTGTAGTGTAGAGACAACTTATTCACTGTATTGCTGTACAAATATTTTTCAAGTACCAATTCTGATTCTGTGCCAGAGGCTTTTGTCTTACAAAAAAAAAGACTATGTACAACACAAAAAATAGTCTGTCCATTCAGTAACTTCAAGCTTGTTACAATTTTTACACCACATTGTTAAATCTTTTGCCCACATTTGTTGGATCAAGGACTACAAGTAAATGCTTTAGCATGTAGTTTGACTTTAAGGCACATGTTAAATGGTTGACTGGTTGTATAAAAGCAATAGGTTTAACTGGATGGGACCCTTTCACCCCATACTTACAGAGTAGATTGGAAGTTAGAGGTTTTTAAGCTCACTTTTATCAACATTTGCATTTAATTTGAAGCATGCAAATCTTGCTGAGGTAGTTTTTTAACGTATTGCTGGTCAATCAAGATCCAGCCATACCACAATAATTACATCGTGTCCTTACCTTACTCAGAAGTAGTGTACTTTGTCCATGGTAGTTTTCCAAAGGTTTTTCTTTTTGCCCCCCTTTTTTTTTTTAAACACAGTTGAGTGTTTAACAAGAATTTAAATACAGCTCTGCAACAGCGCTGTGATACAGAAGGTAGAGGGCTTCAAAACCTCACCTAGAAACAGCAAAAGCTCATTTTCTGTTTACTACCTAATGAAGACAAATGAACTGTATAAAATTACTATATAATATATTTTCTTTTATCCCTAAAGTTCTTGTAACAGATTTGTTTCCAAGGGCACCTAGATATTCAACTGATAAAAGGGCTGTTAGTTTTCTGATGTAAATTATTGTATATAATAACAAATCTGGTATTGACAGCTTACGTAGTTTCCTGTTTTTGAATCAGGAATACAGCTTGTACACTTTCTACTATGCCTGGGGGAAAAAACAGGTAGCTTTTAAACTAGAGCTAACCTCTAGGTGCTCTTGCATTTGTGCGAACTTTAATGTGGGAATTCGCCATGCCATGTTCCAGTGTGTTAGAGGAGGAAACACACCAGGAAAGCTAGATTAAAAGACATCTTAAATTGCAGAAAAAGGCAATTGCTCCCCCGTCCCCCTACCCCCGTTTATAACAGCCTCAAGGCACTCTGGAGAGAAACCTTATATGCTGCAATAAAATAAAGGTGAATAAATTTAGCTTTTAGGGGGTAGGTAGTGAGGCAGGTAGTCTTTTGGATCCTTTTTAATGCAGATAAATACATCAGGAAATTCACTTCAAATAATGCAAACAATATATTCTAGGGAGGGAAAGTAGTACAATACTATGAATTTTTACCCTGAAAGAACAAAGAATGAGGTCATACAAATTAG